ACTCTAAGTCTGAATTTTTACTGTAACTGCTCTACTTCTATTGGCTTGATATGGTTTGTTCAGAATGGAAATTTCGGGTTGTCACACTTGCCCACCTGGGCTATGACTCGGAAGGGGCCGATATACCTGTGGCCCAGCTTGCCCCGCTTGCAGAACCGTATGACACCCTTCTAGGGTGACACCTTCAGGAGGACCATGTCACCATCCCAAAACTCCAAGTCTGAACGCCTCTTGTCGGTGTAACTCTTCTGCCGACTCTGAGCAGTCTGGAGCCTGCTCCGAACCTGTTGGATCTACTTGGTGGTCTTGAGTTCTACCTCAGTACTCCCCATAACCCTCTGATCGACCTCACCCTAACAGATTGGGGTCCTACACTTCCTCCCGTAGAGCATCTTGAAGGGAGGATGGTCTGTACTGGTGTGGTAACTGTTGTTATACAAAAATTCCACTAACGAAAGATACGTATCCCAACTGGCACCGAAATCCAAAACACATGCACGAAGCATGTCCTCGAGAGTCTGAATCATCCTCTCGCTATGCCTGTCTGTCTGAGGATTGAAAGCGGTGCTGAAGTGGAGATGAGTACCTATTTCATCGTGAAACCGCTTCCAAAATCTGGATGTAAATCGGACATCTCAGTCTGACACTACGGAGACACAAACTCCATGTTGTGCTACTGCCGCTTGTACATAGATCTTGGCCAGTTTCTCAGCCGATATGCTCTCCTGGATCGGGATAAAGTGGGCTCTCTTGGTTAACTAATCCACGATGACCCAAACCGTATCAACCCCACGTGCGGTCTTGGGAAGCTTAGTGATAAAATCCATAGTGATGTCTCTAAATTTACTCTCGTTGCCTGTCATATGATTGTTTCCAAACTTTATATGTGCTGAATCATTTTATTTAAGTCTTTAAATTTATTCTCGTTGCCTGTCATATGATTTCTTGCACCTGCGTCTAAATAACACATACTAGATTTACTTCCTTCAACTCCATTTGACTTTAACCGAGGATGTGTCTTTTCTTCATTTAGAGATACCTCTTCTACCTCCTTACAAGCATTAACTGATGAAAAGAATAGTGGTTGTTTAGTGTCCACATCTTCTTGAGCATGATTGCTTTCATGATTTCTCTCTCACATTGGATTCGTGCATTTTGTGGCATGGTGTCCATATTCATAACAATTATAACATTGAATAATGCTCTTGTATCGACTACTGGATGTGTTATAGTTTCCAGCTCTCTTTTGGTAGGAGACTACTCTCCCACGTCGTCCATGTTTGCCACGTCCTCAAAATGACGCATATCCATTTCAATTTTCATTCTTTGAAACATTTTATGATTGCAACTTGTTTCTTTTAGACAATTCCTCATGTGCCAAGAGGAGTTTCTTCTCTTTAGGTTCGTCATGGCCCTTTATTCTTTCTTCATGTGAATTCAGTCATCTAATTACCACTTCTACTTTCATTTTGTCCAAGTTTTTGAATTGCTTGAGAGTTGATGCAATCTGTAAGAAATTAGATGAGACTGCTTGTAGTAGTTTCTTCACCACGTATGATTCTTTTACCATGTCTCTCAAGACTTGTATTGTGCTCACGATATTGTTTAATTTCACAGCAAACTCATCTATATCTTATGAATCCCTCATGCTTAATGCCTCAAATTCCGACTTCAAGGTTTGGATTCTCGCTGTTTTCACTCTATTGGCTCCCAAGTACATGATTTTGAGAGTGTCCCACGCCTCCTTCGCTATTTTCCTTTCAACTGTTGACAATAAAAAGTCTTCGGGTATTGCTTGGTAAATGGCCTCGGTAGCACCTGGTTCATAATACATAATTATTTTTAATAATTATTTAAGTATCTTGCATTTTGGCCTTGGACTCGGCGAGTTGAAGGACCAACTCGCCGAGTAGAAGGGGGGTGGGACTCGATGAAGGACCAACTCGCCGAGTAGAAGGGGGATGGGATGTTGTATGGACAAAAACCCTAATCTGAAGGTTTGCACCCTATTTAAACAATGCTATGTCGGCCATAATGTCCTTTATGCTCCCAGAACACCTCTCATTGAAACCATAGTCGTTATTGAAGCAATCTAAGCCTTGTTGGTGGATTTTGGTGCTTATGGTCTTAAGAAGGAAGGAGAAAAGCTTGAGGAAGCATGTAAGGACCAAGGGAACCCGAGTTTGTGCACTTCCTACAATTCATTGAAGGTAAAAAGTTGTAACCTTGCTCTTTCATTTGATAGAACGCTTTTTGGGGAGATTTAGGGCTTTTATAAGCCATTTTTGATGGCCAACCATGATTGCAAACATGGTTGGGGGTTGGAGCTTCTGAATCACGTCATGAAGGGAGTCACAAGGCAGTTGGGGGATGCTTTTGCACCCATGAAAGGTCCCATGCATCATAAGAGCTTGTTTTATGTCTTTTTGAGCTCAAAGTCCCATGCAAGCACATAAAGTTTGTAACTTTACGTGCTAGATCGATTGTAGAAGCTTGGATCTATCTTTTGATCAAAGGTTGTACATCAGAAATCGAGGATTTAGAGTGTGGACGTGACCAACTCGACGAGTCCATTCTTGGGACTCGACGAGTCCAAGGCTTTGAGTTCCATATCTATTGAGAGTCAAAAGAACTCAGTTGAGTGTTAGAAGGGTTGTATCTGGATAGAAAGAGTGACCCAACGCATTGGACATAATTTTGGACCTGGAGTTCATGGGACTCAACGAGTGCTAGAACAGACTCGGCGAGTCCAAGGCAATCTCCTTAAGATTAAAGATGAACTCGACGAGTTGTTCACACAACTCGGCGAGTTGAGGACAGGACTTGTTCATCAAATGATGGCGGACTCGACGAGTGTTCATACAACTCGACGAGTCGGATGAGTTTCATGTAATTTTCATATAAGAGAGGAACTCGTCGAGTCGATTCCAAACTCGACGAGTCGAGACGTTGATAAGGACGAGTAAAGGGTTAGGACTCGGCGAGTTGACGGCCCAACTCGGTGAGTCGGGTCAACTTGAAGTTGACTTTGACTAGACTTGGACTAACCTTGTTTAGGGTTTCCCGTGTTGTGTGTTGACCTGAAGGTTGTCGTGTAGGGATCGAGGAGTCGGAGGGAGTCGACTTGTGTGCCGAGGATAATTCAAATGTTGCACGACATTGATGTGAGTTACCTTCCAATAGGGGTGGGTCTAAGGCCACAATACCGGCCCACCAAAAAGGGGTATTTAGAAGATGATTGTCTTTGTGATAATTATCTTGGTCTGGTTATGTGCTTTGGTCATGAGATTTATCTGTATGATATGTTATGTGTATAGTATGGATTAGTTTTCCTAACAGCGGTCCTTAGGACCAAAGGGTAGGTTAGTACCCGGATATGCCTGACTATATGTTTATATCTGTTGTTGCATACTAGTAGTAGGGGGTGGTATAGTCCCCAGTTACTGGTTGAAAGATACCGATGATGAGTACCGGTTGAAAGATTCTGATGATGGTTACCGGTTGAAAGATACTGACGATGGTTACCGGTTGAAAGATATCGATGATGATTACCGGTTGAAAGATACCGATGATGGTTACCGGTTGAAAGATACCGACGATATTGTATGGTATGTGGTATAATGGGGGAACTCACTAAGCTTTGTGCTTACAGTTTTGGTTTAGGTTTCAAGTACCTCTTCGTCGAAGGGGAAGGAGCCGGCGGTGTAGCAGCGCATCACACACACACATGGTTTCCGCATTGAGTTTCTGGCATTGTACTCTGGTTTTCATTATTTTTGATGTCATGGTTTGAGACACAACATTCTGATTTTGTAATGTGATGTTTTATCGATAATGTTTTGGTACAATGTTTATTAAATTTATTAATTCAAAAATGAAATTTTCGGGCTTGAATTTTGAGATGTTACAGCCTCCATTGCCATCTTATCCTTCTTGACCTCTACAATGGTGTTTGTGGTTCTTGGCTCAACTGCATCCTCCATTGCCATCTTATCCTTCTCGACCTCTACAATGGTGTTTGTGGTTCTTGGCTCAACTGCATCACATCACAGACACCTTGAGCTTGCATAAAAACCTTCATTTTAATGGCCCAATGGCCCAAGCAGTGTACTTACTTCTTGAGAGCATAGGGTAGTTAAGTTTAATAGTTGAAACTTCTTTGTCATTCTTCTCGCTCATTGTGGTCACCCGGGGTTGATACTTTGGCGTACACGAGGTTGCTGGTACCAAATGTTAGCCTTTTAAATGTAGACTATATCACATGGGCATGGCAAGGATAGAAATTGAGAAAAAACAAAAGAAACAAAACAGCGGGGGCAAAAGCTTCACACTTATTCATTTTTGGGAGGTTTTAGGGTGATTGTGAGTACACTTGTCCATTTAAGCTAAAGAAAAAGCAAGAAAACAGGAAAAGACCACATCTATGGCCAACATGGCACATGACTTATTCAAACTTATTAAATAAAAAAAACACGTTGAAAATTCTGGATTACATCAACACATTCAGCCCCATAGAAAATTGTACGGTCTCTCCGTATCTAGAATTTTGGTAAATTCTTTTACTTGTGTCCACTGCATGTGCATGTGGGTACGTATATGATTTATGAATTGTATCACATTCCAAACCTCTTTGAGATTGGTGTAATACACTGAGACGATCATGTTGTCTTGTCATGTTATTGTAATAGTTCTTCAGCTCATACGCTCAAGGTGCGTTTTTTTAAACCTTTCTTCAAGGTCTGACCATATATCTCGAGCAGTAGCATCATACTTCACACTGCTCTTAATCTCTTTCTCCATTACACTGACAAGCCACCCACAAACCATTGCATTGCATCACCTCTAGTTCATCAAATCTTTCGATCCCATTGTCAAAAATATGAGGATGAACCATCAACGACACTAATTTTATATTTGGTGAATTATGCATCTGTCTCATTTTGCCAGTCACCATAATTCTTGTCTCGCAAGAGGTTTTCTCCGATGAAGTTTGACAAGGTGTGTTGGAGAAAATTGGATAATGATGTATTTTATGGTGTTTTTCTCTGTCGTTGACTGCGAGGATTCATTTGTATTATTTCTTTTCAATAAGGGCTATGAGGTGGAGATATATAGTAGGACCCATTTATATCAACTCTTCGTAAAATAGTCAAAAAGCATATCGTGGGTATCTAAGCTCCATCCATATCGTTTTGGTATATGATACCATACTTTCACACATGGAACACGGCTTTAGCATCTTCGTAGAAATATAGCAGGTTCGGTCATCACTAAAACGTGGATACCACTATTTATTTGAAGGCATGATTATGTATATATATTTATACGCTGCAAATACTGATTAGGTGCATTAAGGAAGTAAATAATCTTCAGCGGAAATTCCTAGATTAGTTTGAACTCTTTCCAATTCGATGGAAGCTTCTCTACTTCGAATGAATTTGATACAGTTCCTCGTATGTATTTTGTCTGATTGAAATATATTTTGCTCGCAGTTTCTTGAATGTTGTCTATTACTTTAATTCATAAAGTGAAGATCTAGATTTTGGATACTGTAAAAGGTACGTTTGCTTTTTAATATCATCTTAACAGTCTATTAAAACAATTCGTAGAATTTGTTGGATAATTCAGAATCTGGAACGAATTTTGCACCATGGGTATTTAGGGAATTCTCTCATTTTAAAGGTGTCTTGAGTTAGTTTAGGATCTAATTGGTATATATAGGGGGTTAATTAGTAGTATTTTAATTCAGATTTCCAGCAATAAATTCTTTGGATAGAGTGTAATAGATACAAATTTGCTGTTTAACCAAGTGAAATTTATGAGAAAGGAGAATACTAATTAAAATTGGCTACATTATTATACTTTGTTCTTTTTATTAGTTACGCATATAAGTATCATATACTTTTTAATAAAGCTTTTGTTGGATGAATGAACTCTGATAGAGCATGTTTTTTTATTATTATATATTTTTGTGCATTTGTTGTAAAAGTAGTTACTTTGAACCAAATAGATTTCTCTACCTTCTCCATGATGATTTTCTTGGCCCTTAATGTTTATAGTGGGAATATAGTTGCTAATTTTGTAGATCAACACCACAGAGATATCGTGTGTAGATTTTAAATTGAAATAGAATCCTTGCCTAAATCATGAACTCCTTTTCATCGATCCCTACGAAGCTGAACACTTCTCTACTTGTTTTCTATTTTCAGTCTTTCCTACCAGCATTGTACAAACTCGAATGCCCATATCTTGAATATAAAAGAAATTCCTTTAGTTTCTATGCGCCCGGCTCCTTCTCTCTTCTCTTGATTGATTGGCAAGTGATACAATTTTTTTTTTTTTTTTTTTCATTTTCAGTTTTTAGTAAGTTATATATATATATATATATATATATATATATATATATATATATATATATATATATATATATATATATATATATATATATATATATATATATATATATATATATATATATATATATATGCTAGGTTATAATGTGGATGGATAACTATTGTACGAACGTGTGAATAATGCTATTGTATGAAAAATTATTAAGATAATAGGTTGTTTAGTAATGTGAATATGTTAAACTTTACACAACTATTGTTATTTTCATGTATTTTCACTAATTTTATTCATTTTTATTCTTACACATCGTTTTTTACTCATTTTTATTCTTACAAAATACGAGTCAATAAAGATTCTGATAATATTCTGACAGAATGATAATAATAAAAAACAGTTTATAATAACCTTATAGACGATTTAATTAGTGATAATGTGTGATAATGACAATAATTATGTAAGATTGAACACATTCACATTATTAAACAATATATTTTCTTTGTCATTCTTACAGAATAGTACTGTCTACACATATTTTTTCAATAGTTATATAAAATTAAAAATATTCACATTATTAACGAGGGTCATTTGACCCACCTATTTTTCCAATATTTACTATAATGTATGTATCCAAAAAAAATTAGGACCTATCTTACAAAAAATAAGGGGCTTACCTAAAGTGGAACAAAAAAGAAAGAAAAAAGGTGTATATTTAAAAGTATTTCTTTGATTTCAAATGATATATGTACCATTTATAGTTAGTGTCACATCGACCAACTACACGAAATAGGTGATAGATGATGTCTTATAAATAAAATGATGAGAGAAAAAATTAAAATAACTTTGTGCTTAATGGCTAGATGTGACGTAGGTAGTAAGTCATAACTTTGTGCTTAATGGCTACATGTGACTTAGCTAGTAAGTCAGTTGTTTTTAAAAATATAATCCATATATTTATAAATATTGTTTTTTAAAGGTCCAAAGGTCCGGTTGAATTAGGTTTTTTGGTAAACCGTTCGGTTGCCATAAATTGCTAACAAGCGATTTTTTAGATAAAAAACGTGTAACAAGAAAATTTCCCGTTTCAATCGATCGAACTAGCCAGTATGGTCTGGTTTTCAAAACTATACTTTTATCAGTCCGATTGAACATGATAAAGGAACCACATGAATTTTTTTTTAGAATGGCCATTATATATATATATATATATATATATATATATATATATATATATATATATATATATATATATATGATAAAAAACTATAAAAGATATATTAAAATTTATGGTTTTTAATTCATTAAAAAGAATTTAATATTTGTCTAAAATATATTTTAAAAATAAAATAAAAAACAATATTAAGTGAAAAGTAACCATTTTTTAATTCTAAAGAGATAGAAGAAGAGTGATGAGGGAAACCAGGTGGCACGTGTGCCAAAAAAAAAAAAAAAACAAGTTGAGAAATGAATACTCTTACGTGTAACTAAAGCTAGCCATAATAATTTTAATTCTAACATAGTTTCTTATCAAGAAGTAATATCATGAATTTAAAAGAAATCATTGAAGTGAGGACTGTAAACCAACAAAACTATATGTGGGTATATGTTATAGAAAAGTCAACTATCATTCTATTTTTCCTTTCTATCCAAATTCCTATTTATTTATTTATTTATTTAACCGGCAAATAGAAAATAATATTAAAAACCCAACCAATTCATTATCACAACAATAATTTAAAACATTTCTCAAAAATTTACAATTTTAAATGAGCAGCAAGGAAAAGTAAAGGGTTATTTAGTTCTTCTATATACTAATTTATAAACGATAAACCCTTTAATTATTTAATTCAATGCTATGGAAGCAAGTTAATCTAATTAGGCACTAAAATAGTCTAGAAGTGTCTTTAATTATATTATATGTTTATTTAATCAACACACTAACTTTTCTCAAGTTTTCAATTTTATAAAAAATATATATTTTCTATTAGTTATATTTTGTTGGCATAACATTTGATTTTCATTTTACTTTCACAACATTGTCATTGTTAATCAATTTACATACATAGCTTTTAATTTAACTTGAAAAATAAATTACTTGACTACTTTTTCAATTTTGAACATGATTTCAAGTATCAGTTATTATTTTCAAGGTAATATTTCAAGTAATAGCTATTATTTTCAAGGTAATGTAATATAAAAATTTAAGTTTATGTTTATTGTAAATATTATTTTTCATTAATAAAAATCATATATCTTTTGAAAATTTTAGTTACTATAAAAAAAAAAGTTTGGCCAAAATTTTGTTAATTTGATATTTTAATTTTGATTTTACGTTTGTATAATATCAAAAAAAAAATTAACATTAAATAAATTCTGTAGAAATATCTAACTTTTTTATTTACATTTTTAGTTTAACACCATATCGAAATTCTCAAAATGAAGTTTACTATACTCGTAACTATAAATTAGTCTCATTAAAAAGATATTATTTTAAATCTACTTTAAATTATTAAAATTAAGTATATTATTTAAAAAATTAAAGAATTAATAGTATAAATAAAATAATAAAACAATTTAGTGGATTAGTACAAATAAATATAGTTGAAATAAAATAAAATCTATTATAATCGATTTTAGAAAACTTTTGTATGTTGCGTAAAATAAAATAACTCACTTCAAATTTTGGCAAATACATGTTATTGAAAGTAATATATGTTATTAACATTAAATATTCTTAATGAAATAGTTATTTGTATATTCAGTTGATATATAAAATTTTAATTATTTTCAACATTATTTCTAGATAAATATCTAATATAATCACATTATTCAATAGCTTTTTTCAACCACATGTTTTTAAGATAATGGAAGATATTCTATAATTTTATGTTATTTTAACTAGGGATAAGCATATGGACTGGGGAACCAGCCGGAACCGGTACCGGAACCGGAACCCAATGGAACCGGTCGGGTCAGGACGAAGACGATATTTTTGTGGATTTTTAGAACCAGAAACCATTAGAACCGGAACCGTGTGTTGCAATTTTTCGAGGACCAGTTACAATATTTGAAGACATAACAATAATTGGTAGGAATCGGAACCGGTAGAATCAGAACCAGTGGAACCGGTGGTCCGGTTCAGTTCCTATTTTCCACTGAGTTTGGTTCCCGGGCCGGTTCCAACCGGGTCGGTTGTTTTGCTCCTCCCTAATTTAACAGCTGTAGTTTATTTATTAAAAACTTACTTTTAAAATTTTCAATTATTATAAAAAAAAGTTTTTTGATACTTTTAGTTTTTTTGGCATTTTAAGTTTGTTGTGTATCTATATATTTAAACCTTCGAACAATTTTGAAAAAAAGCCATTGATCAAATTTTAATTTAAATGATATTTTGATTTAAATTCTGCATTCAACCCTAATTAAGGTAACATATCAAATATATTATGTTATAAGTTAAAGGTTTAACTTAGATTTTGAATTTAACTTCATAGATAAATTACGAAATGTAATATATTATATCAATAATTCAAAAAGCATGTTGTTAACATATTAATATTTTATATTTAATAAATTAAATAATGTTAGATGTTTATCTCAATTTAATATTATTATGATTAATTGGTTTTTAAAATTACTAAAAAAAAATTGATTGCGTAATGGCTATTCATTGTTTGTGAGGTAACGTAATATAATTTAAAACTTTATGCTATTAATAAATATTATTATTGTTAAACTATTTCAAACCTACTTATTCTTATTAAAAAGTTATTGAAGACTATTTTATTTTTTCTACTTATTTCATATTAATCAACATATTTTGAAAGGAAATGAAAACTCATTCGAGCTTCAAATTAATTTTAAAATTACTTTGAAATAGTATTATAGAAAAGCAGTAAAATATTAAATTTTAGATAGAAAATTTAAATATTTCACAATAACTAACCAATTTGGAAATATTATTGACAAACATTTTAAAAGTAATTAGAGTTCTAAATATATGTGGCGCACGGTAAATAGACTCGCTTATAGAATATATTAATATTAATATTAATTTGCAGGGAAATGTTCTATTTGTAAAAGCCGATGGACTTATTTTTGTCCAATTTTAGCTAATAAAGTTTCTAAAATTGACTACTTTAATAATACGCCAAAACTAAAAGTGGTAATTAATTGTTAAATTAAATGTTCTAAATTGATTTCATGGAGATCAATTCCTTAGTCGCAAACTAAGAGCCAATCTCTTAAATCCTCATTTTATCTAAACCAATAGAAAGATATTCATACGAAAAGTATGTAATCGTGAATCTTCTTTTATGCATATACTTGTGTGATCATCATCATGAGAAATATTAATTCCATTTGTTCTGTAATTCCTTTACAGATTAATTTGTGGTTATGAAAATGGGTACAAACTGGATGAGTGCGCCTAGGTCAAGCACCCTATTTTTGAAAGGGTTAGGTGAATTCCTTGATGTTGAAAGCAAGAATAATGCAAACTCTAGTGGAGATATTAAGTGCCCATGCGTCAAGTGTGTGAATAACGTGTGGTTAACACGTGACACATTAACCGAGCACATTGTCTGTAATGGCATTATGAACGGATACGATGAATTGATAGCTCAAGCCACCACACAGGTTCATCTTTTATTTCATTCCATATTAGATGCAACTTTAACGATCACAAAAGTATCTATTAGACTACCACCATGATCACAAAAGTATCTATTAGACTACCACCGTTAACAATTCACTGCAATTCAATTTTTCTATAAAAAAATAATTTATCTTTTTTCCGCATATATAATGCAACCCAATTCAATTTTTTTAGATTCATTACCAAGCAAACACAATCTATTTTATATTAAATTTTTATATTTACAAAACTATATCAATATTCGTCTTAATTTGTAGAGAAAAACCAATAAAATATTTTAATATATATATATATATATATATATATATATATATATATATATATATATATATATATATATATATATATATTTTTAAAGATAAAATCGATTTATTAACACAATTTAGTTTTTTTAAAGAAAATGTAATTAATTTCTTCTAATGAATATTATGCATATTTATAAAGCTATCATTTTTTCTTGAATCTCATGCATTTGAAACCCTTTTTTTTATCTTCCTTTCACCACATTCATTTGAAACTCCTATGACTTTTCAATTTCTTTACAATAATATTATAAATAAGTTAAATAATGTTCTATAAACAAGAAAGAGTGTTTTATTACAATGTTTTCATCCCACATCGACGGTGAGAGTAACAAGAGAATGTTTCCTCTTTTATAAATAGGAAAGATTGTGAAATGTTTCAAAGGGACCATACCATGATAACTCCTCATGCCTACCTTTGTAGGATTTTGAAGGTATTATTTGGTGGGATTGTTTATATTGGCAGGTGTCTAGTTAACTTTTAGAATTCCAAAAATAGTTTTGAACCGAATTTTTTCAGGTTTAAACCGTGTTTCAGTTAGAAAAAAAATTATGTAGTTGGGTATATTGAGTTGAACCGGAGTTGGATCAATTTGGACCGATAAAGGAATCAATTTCCTTTCACAACAAACATGTAACGACCCAATTTTCAAGTCAAAAAATTTCATTTTAATTAACTGCCTCCTAAAAATATTCTTAAGAAAATACTGTGAAATCACATAATCTCATAAAACAATGTATCATATCTGAAAACCCAAGTCATAAAAATAGTAACATGTCAGAGTACAATCCCATAATATCCATAATGCGGAAAACAATGAGTGTGTGTATGATGTGCCGCTACCGCGCCAGTTCCTTCCCCTTCGCTGAAGAGGTACCTGAAACAAAAACTGTAAACTGTAAGCACGAAGCTTAGTGAGCCCCCCCCCCCCTCGCGCCCCACCATTGTACCTCATACCATACAATCACATAGCATACATACTGTCAGAAAATTCTGGGGTGCCTGACCTACCCGGTACGACCATTCTGGGGTGCTGACCTACCCGTACGACCATTCTGGGGTGTCGACCTACCCATGCGGCCATTCTGGGGTCTCGTCCTACCCGTATCAAACCATTCTGGGGTGCTGACCTACCCTTGTCGAACCATTCTAGGGTGCTGACCTACCCGTTGGTCCTAACAACCGACTCTTAGGGACTAATCCACCCTCTACTGCTACTATCACATATATCATAACATAAACATACTATCAGACATATCTGGGGTGTCCGAACTACCTTTCGGTCCTAACAACCGAACATGGGGACTATTCCCCTCCTACTACCACTATCACATATAACATATCATGCTAGCATATAAACATATCACCACATACTGTCAGACATATCTGGGGTGTCTGACCTACCCTTCAGTCCTAATAACTGAACTCTACTACTATCACATATAACATATCATGCCAACATCTAACATATCAGGTCGTAGCAAACCTAGATGATATCACAAAGACAATCATCTAATATACAACTCTTACTGGTGGGTCGTTATTATAGCCGTAGACCCACCGATACTGAAAGGTAACTCACCTCGTTAATAAATATAGACAAGTGGGCATGAGATCCTTTGCAATCTAAGATGAGCCAAGGGCGTGGCAACAAACTAGTTCACAAAAGATCATATACTTTTTATTTTTTTTAATGTTACTTTTTTCATGATCGGCTCGCAATAAACCCCCAATGGGGGTAGTCTTATGCATCTATTTTCCGAACACTCAAAATATTTCGACTCCAAAATATTATCCAACTTTCAACTCTAATTTTATTTCAATGTTTCCACTTGAAAATAGGATCTTCAACTTCCCATCGAACTTGAACTTTCATTCTCTGCCTTTGAAATCCCATTTTCGACCATCAAGATAAATTTCCAGCCATTCAACTTGATCTTCTGTCTTTAACTTTCAAAGAATAGCCATCTAAAGAATAAAGGAGTTTATTGGTATTTTATTACTAAACCAAACAATAATATCCGCAACATAGTCCCAAAATCATTGACATCTTTCCACACCTGATTGGACAAGAAAGATTTGTTGATTCCATTTTTATCTCTCTAGACTATCTTATTGCTTATCCCATCACTATTCCAAAACATAGTCCCATTTTGCAGCCCAGGGTAAACATCTAGCCAATCAGCAAGCCAACATAATTGTCCATTAACAACAATATCCGCAACCCTTGGCATATCACTGGATCCTACACTAATCCAATCTCTGCTTAAAATAAACATGCTAATGATTCCAATGGGATGCCACCAATCATGCCATAATGAAGTATTCATACCGTTTCCAATACTCGAGATAATGTGAGGTCTAAGATACTTTCTTGCATGTAAGAACCTCTTCCATGTCCAATATAGATTCTTAGCATAGATTCTTCTTAAACTGGATATCCCAAAAATCCCTTTCTTAATACGAAAATGATAGGTCCACCTCACCCACATAGATTTTTTATTATTTACAATGTTCCAGACATGTTTAGATAATAACACATCATTCCATCTCCTTAATTCTTTCAAGCGTAATCCACCATTCACTTTTGGAGTACAAACCATTTTCCAATAGATTTTAGCTTTTCCTTTACCCAATTCACCTCCACTCCAAAGATAACCTATACATATCTTCTCAATCTCCATAATTTTGGTAGCAGGATGTTTGAAAACCGAGGCCAATACACATGCATAGAATTTAAAATAGAACTTATAAGTTGTAGCCTACCAGCAAAAGATAAACTTTTGCTCTTCCAACTTAAAATTCTCATTTTGATCCTATCCACCATGATCTTACAATCTCTTCTAAACAATTTATTGACAGATAAAGTAATACTTGAGAATTTAAATGTGAACTTACCAAACTCAAAAGGAAGAATACCATTGATAGTTTGGCTAATAGCAGGTTTGACACACCTGAAAAAGATCAAGCTTTTATTCAAATTAGCATTTAATCCAGACAAATCTTTGAAATAATCCAACAAATTCTTGATCACCCTGAGCAATCCACTATCACCATGACAAAACATCAACAGGTTATCTGCAAAACATAAATGAGTGATTTTCTGAATTTTACATCTACTGTGATATTTGAAATTCGAGGAATTCTCAATATTTCTCTTGAGCACAAGATTAGAGACTTCCATTATGAGAGTAAAGAGATAGGGTGATAATGGATCTCCCTGTCTCAAATCCCTTTTACCTTAAAAAAAAACCTTTATCCTCACCATTAATGGTCACAGTAAACCAGGTAGAGGTAACACACATCATAATCCAATGCACCATAATAGGATGAAACCCAAACCCAACCAAGGCTTGCATTAGGAAATTCCAATTAACTGTGTCGTAATCCTTTTGAATATCTATTTTCAAAGCACAGTTAGGAGGACCATCCTTCCTATTGTATCTCACCATTAACTCCTGGACAAGAAGGATGTTATCGAGAATAAACCTTCCAGGAATAAAAGCTGATTGATTGTTATCCACAATCAGACCTAAATGGTTACGAATGCGATTAACAATAACTTTACTTATACATTTATACAATGTATTACAGTAGGCTATTGGCTGATAGTCAGTAACTTTTCTGGGGCACTCAAATTTAGGAACAAGAATTATTCTAGTAGCATTAACACATTTAGGTAGCTTCGCAATCCAGAAAACTTCCCTAACAACTTTACATACTTCAAACCCCGCCACTTTCCAAGCATACTTAAAAAATATTGATGAAAACCCATCTCTACCCGGGGCTTGGTTATCTTCAATATCAAACATTGCAATTTTGATCTCTTCATTAGACACGACTTTTATCATTTCAAGGGCAATACCCGAATCCAATTTATTACTAAATAACTCATTATCAATTATTCTATCACCATTGCTATATTTTTAAAATGATCCACAAATTTGTCATTCAAATTCTTCCCACGTATCCACCTGTCATCTTCATCAAGAATCATAGAGATTCAATTCTTATTAGCACAGCTCTTGACAGATTTATGAAAGAAGCTTGTATTTCGATCATCCTCCTTCAACCATTTAATTTTAGCTCTCTTAAAAAGAAACTTCTCCTCATCCTCACATGCCACATTAAATTCAAAGAGAACCTTGGCATGTTCATCCCTTATCAAATAATTAAAAGGATTTTTATCTATTTCACCTTGCTAATCATCCAACATTTTCCTTAAGTCTTTCAATCGCTTCCTTGAAACATCATGATTACTATATAATCTACGACATGGCTTCTTTAATAAATTTAATTTCTACGTCACTTTAAAAATAAATCCGCCAGCAATTTTAGTACCCCAAATTTCCTTCACCATCGGCAAAAATTCATCCTTGTCAGTGATAAAGTTCACAAATTTAAATGGGTGAACCCATCTAGATTGACATATAGGAATAGACAAAATTTTTGAACTATGGTCTGAAATCCGATATGGCTTAAAGATCGCATGGGCCAAAGGAAACTTCTCCAAAAACTTTAAGTTTGCCATAACACGATCCAACTTCTTAAGTAACCCATTAGACGCTGCTGGAGATTTCGTCCATGTAAATTAAAGACCAGAACAATTAAAGTCCTCCACCTCTATAGAGTTAATACACTCTATAAATTCAGCAACACACTCCGGTATTCTGGAAGAACTTTCAGAATATTCAGAAGGCTTCATAGCCACATTGAAGTCCTCAAAAGAACCCACACCTTCTTATTCACCACAGACTTATGTTTCTCCAAATTCTACCATAACTCTCTTCTGTCTATATACCGCGAAGCAACATATATGAAGGAAACAAAAACCTCAAAATTGGAATCCAGAATTCTAATAAAACAGTGCATGACCTGATTAGAATGAGACAGAACCATTAAGTCAAATTTATTAGCATTCCATCCAACAATAATTCTAGTACCCGATTTGCTAGAACTAGTATTCGATACTAGTCCCAAATTCTAAAAACTTTAGCATAAAGTTTCTTCAAATTCAAATCAGAAACATGAGACTCTAATATACCACAAAGCTCTAGATTATTAACTTTAATAATCTCAAGCACCTCCTTCTGCTTAACCACTTTATTAAGGCCCCTAATATTCCAAGCCCCTAAATTCATCATTGAGACACATTAGGGCTTTTGGCATTTCCCCCCTTAAATGCCTGAGATCCAATAACTTCATATTTTTCACAACCCCACTATTATTCCCACTGACCTGATTAGAAACAACAAAATTCATATCAGAACCACCCTTAAACATTCCTATATCAGGTTAGACTAACATCACTATCAGTAACATCAGATACAACATGAATTTCTTTTCTATTAATCATAACATCCTCCTCGATTCTTTCAACAAAATCCTCCATAATCGAACCCAATACTTCAAATCTATTAGCATTACCTTTCTTATTTACACCTTTAGTATATATCCCTTTACCACCATTGGCAGTGTCCTTGTTATCCACATTTCCTTTATCTAAACTAGCAATTTTTATTCTACTTTCCCCATCATGTTTCATATTTAATCCCATTTTTACCATAAAATTATCCGCTTCAAACGCTTGATTCTTAGCTTGATTCTAATGGCTTACATTAGTATTCATCCATTTCCCATTTTTCCTCTTCCCATATCCACCATTATTTCCCCCGTTGCCTCTGTTAACATTCCTTTTATTATTATTATTGTAATTTCCCTGGTTGTTTTGGAATTGTCTACCCCCATCTCTTCCTTTTGTCCCATTAGTACTTGTTGCATAAGCTCCACAATTACCTCCTTTTCTTACCACTTCTATAAACCCCTCATTATCCATAATTCCTTTTCCTTTAGAGTTCTGAACATTCACAGGATCAATCAACTCCTTGACCTTTTCTTTTCCACTAATCACAACCATACAAAATTTCTCAAAGTGTCCAAAAGCTTTACAATGGCCACATCTAGATGGGCACCAAGCATATTCCACAACAAACTCCTGATTAACATCACAATTCATCATAAAGTCCCATGTTGTTACTTCAATTTTCTTCTTCCATTCTCTATCAGCTGACATTTCTACAAGTATTCTCGCATAAGCATTCCTGCCTTTATGCTCAAGACACATATCCTCAATGAATGTATCAAATGCCAAAGGAATCCCTATTTACTAGCTATAATACAAAGATTCTCACCACTCCATACTTCCAAAGGAATGTTATCCATACTAGAACCTTATCATGTCTATTTATAGTAAGGGTAAGACCCGACCTTCTTCTTTGCAAAAAGATAGGAATGTTATTGAAAATTAACCATGGATAACCATCCAAAATAGCTTGCATCCCCTATTTAACTTGAGAATTTAAAGAAAAAAGAACCCGTTGCTATTCATAAACATATCCTCAAAACCCACATTCTTCTACCATCGTTTTAATTCTTTTTGAATATCAGGAAAAGCTATTTTCTTATCAATCAAGTAACCATAAAAAGTATTAGAATATGGTAAACTTGCTTTTTTCAGGTTCTCAATCAGGATAATAGCAGGCCCATCTTCCTTCCCATCCCCTATAGAAATGTATTTAACTTCTAACTTTCGTTTATGCATTGCACCCCTTAAAGCACCTGCATATGAAAAATCAAATTTTACTTTTCCATTATTATCAATAGCATTAACCCCATTTCCTTTACCATTTGGCCCCAACAAGGAAGGCTCCATGATAATGCTATTAATAACAGTTCCAACCCTATTTGTATCCTTACTCTGCACTGAATTAGCAGTCCTTTCACACATCTCACTTTTAGACTTTGTAACACCTTCCTTCATATTAATTAGATTACCATTCTCATCGCTACATACAATAGAATCATTGCTACCATCACCCCCATTATCCGTATCAATTTCAGTATACTTCAACTTGCTATCATTCTCCACTTGATTCAACTTAACTTCATTAAGAAAAGAAAATCCAACTTTCAGATCAAATTCTTCATACACCCTACCACTTATCACCTTATCCTTATAACCAGATTCATCCTTACTCATACTAGTAGTAACAACATTACAATCAACATTACTAGAAGATATTTGCCCAATAACATCATTAACAACAATCGATGGGTTAACAATCTTCATTTGATTAGTAATGACTTTCATTTCATTATTAGGACTTAGCATCTCATCCCCAATTTTAGAGTTCTCCCAATTTTTAGATAGAGAATATGTATTACCTGATGGAATTTGAATTTCAGGCACATTTGATTTCTTCTCCCCAGCTTGAATCTGAATATTCTTAACCTTCACATACTCCACCTTAGACGATTCCATATTATCAATCATCTGCTTACTCGAATCTGATTCCCATATCTCCTTACTCGCAGATTCCAGTTCCGTTACTGAGTTATCATAATATCCTTCTGCATCCAAAGGAGAAGTATTATCCATATTTTTTCTTGCCCGATTCTTCACTCTAAAAGCTTTACTCTCCATCTTCCATTCAGCCTTTCCGATCCCTGTAGTAACTGCTCTTGTCGCACTCGGCTTACGACGAGCTCTGAAAATAGCAGCTGAAGACTGCTCAATAACACTAGGAGGTACCATTTCATTCACATCGACTTCAATCCAGCCATACTGGACCACAACACTTTTGTCTGGAGGTTTCACTTTGACTTCTTTCAATCGATCCGGTTTGGATGATGCTGCCATTTTGTCAACGAAGTTAGATCTGAAATTACTTCAATAGGAATGGAGATGAAATAATTCACCAGTAAAGAAGCAATGACGAAACCTAGCCAAAAACGCACCTTCGGTCAGAGAGAATTGTATAGAGAGAAAAAGTAGAGAGAGAAAGCATTTTTTAAAATAAGATTTTTATATGCATATGCATATTAGGAAATGAGCACATTTACATTTTATGTCCACATGGGCACATGTCATATAGACATACATTGTATACTGAACTGCATGTGGGAAACGTATGTCCATTTTGATTTTTTAAATATATATGATAATCTATGTAACTTTCATCAGAAGTAAAAGTTCTCTTGATCTCTACCAAAATTTAGTTTTCTACATATTTGTACATGGGGAAAATGACTCTTGAGGGTAACTAACTGTTCTGTTTGTTATTATTTGGCCCCCCTTTTTTTGTACTCAATATATCATCAAACTTGTTGTTTGTGTTCAACATAACCCTTTTAACCGGCTTTTGACCCGCGATAGCCGGTCAAAGGGTTATCGTGAACACAAACAACAAGTTCAAAGGTATGTTGAGTACAAAAAAACAAATGGACCAAATGAGAACAAACTCAACAGTTGGTTACCCTCCCCTCCTTAGTCATTTTCTCCAAAGAGTTAAATGAAATTAAAGTTGTACAATTATCAAAGATTGCAATCATCTTTGGCCATAACATACATGAAGACCGTTTCGAAGGGGTAGTTTCGTTAAAACATGGTCTATGTTATGCTTACTATGGTTAACTGTCAACACCTCTCTGCAAAAGGATATGACTATGTATGAGAGATATATTTATTAGTATAAACGTTTACCTCAAGATATATTATGGTGATGTGTCTACAAAACCTACATGATATAGTACATATTGATGTTGTATTTTATCCCATGAATTCGATCTTAATGTTAAGTAACTCAAAAATTACAGCACTTGTGATTCCATTCATTTGTAGACTTGTCTAGAATCCATGATACGATAAATCATTTGATTGGAAATGTGAATATTGTCATGAAATGCACTTTCTTAGTCAAGATTCCCTTAATAAATATTCAAGTTCATTAGAAAGTATTACATGTATGAGTAATATTATTTCGTGGGTTATGTTTTGAAGAGAAGAAAATGAATCTCATAAAGAAATTAATATGAGCAAAAGATGACGTAGGATTTGCTGTAAATGAGTAAATAGAAAATAACTCTTGAGGGCAATTAATTGTTGCGTTTGTTCTCATTTTGTCAATTTTTTTTTTTTTTTTTTTTTTTTTTTTTTTTTTAACTCAATATAGCATCGAACTTGTTGTTGGTGTTCACCATAACCTTTTGACCGGCTATCATAGGTCAAAAGCTGGTCAAAAGGGTTATGGTGAACACAAACAACAAGTTCGATGATATATTGAGTATAAAAAAATTGACCAAATAAAAACAAACGCAACAGTTAGTTACACTCAATAGTCATTTTCCCTTCGTAAGTGTGATGTATTCTTCACCAAAATAATATTGATATATTTTACCCAAAATATGCGGATTTGAAAGAAAAATTTTGATAAATAGAATATGAGTCGATTCAAACTAGATACGGGTATAAAGTTTCGTTTTGAATAACCGATTAATTTGACCATAAATTATAGATTTCAATCAAATCTACCTTTTCTTGAACGCTATGATTATTACTACAAATTCTGATATGGGGCTACCAGAGCCATACATTCAATCCGGTTAACATTTATACACGCATGATTCCAATTCTGTGTAGATATATTATAGGATATATATAGTTAATTTGTTATATTTGGAGAACTCAATGTTGTACCATGCGACAATATATTTCATCTTAAATTACATCATTTACTTTGTCCTTCATAACTTTTTACCTGAGTTCTGTACTTTATTTGTTGGCAGGTTCATAAAGAAGTTGCCAAAGTCGGAATATGGGGAAAAAAATCAAAAGGGTCTCCACAAAATCACTGGTCTTTTCGACTTGACAATAATCACAAGCTAAAGAAGATAACTATAGATCATGGTGTTCTAATATATTCCCTCATGTTAACTTTTGAAGATAGCAAAGGATGTTTGCATGATTCCGAAAAAGCAGGTGGTTGGAATGGCGGCGACCAAATTCATGAGGTAAAGAATCTTAGTTCTATACGCTCACAAAACTACTAATTTACACCTAAGTTTCTACGTGATTGATTGAACATGTCTCATGTAAATATGCATTTAACGCTTCTCTTTTCCTACGATGGCTTAGGTGACATTTGATCCTGATGAGGAGATCGTTGGCATTAATGGAACTGTTGATGTATCAACAGGGGTATATTCTGGTTACACTATTATAGCATCGTTGTCTTTCATAACCAACAAACGGACACATGGGCCTTTTGGTCAGACAACAGGGACACCTTTCACAGTACCATGGAACAAAGGCTCTTTTGCTGGATTTTATGGCCTTGCTGGTTATTACATAGATGGCATCGGTGTTTATTTAAAGGCTTCTCAAGACACTGCACGAGTTGGACTATGGGGAACAGAGTCTAGTACTGGTCCTCAATATCGATGGTCGTTTTGTCTAGAGAAAAATCATAAGCTCACAAAGATAACAATAGATCATGGTGACATGATATCTTCTCTTGTGTTCACTAGCGAAGATTGTCTGGGTTCAGTCCATGTTTCTAACAAGGCTGGTGGTTATAACGATGGATCCACAATCTCTGAGGTAGCCTATATGTTTGGAACTGGTTCATGATTTAATGTAGAGGAAGTTACATATTTGGTCCCCAAGTATACCTGGTTTTTTCAATTTCGATCTTAAAAAGTTTTGACCTGAAATTTTGGCCGATATTTGAGGAAAAATGTTTCCTTCCAACATTTTTTCGTAAAATGACTCTTTCTTGTCCATGTATATAACTGGTGTTTGCAAATTTTCTAGAGATTTTTTTGGTACATGCATTAAAAAAGTGTTACAAAAAACCTTCAAATACGGACCAAAACTGCAATAATTTTTTTTTGGGACAAAGATTGCAAAAATCAAACCACATTAAAATTGTAATTTACTTTTTTGAAGTATTGTTGCTTCTTTTTCATTTTATTTTTATTATATTGAATAGTTTTGTTTAATTTGTAGGTTAACCTTGCATGGGACGAGGAAATAATTGAAATTTGTGGAACGTTTGGGGTCTCATCTCGGGCGTATGCCGGCAAGACCATATCATCGTTGTCTTTTGTAACAAACAAAAGGAGTCATGGACCTTTTGGCCGTGCAACAGGGACTTGTTTTTCAGTGCCCTGGCAAAAAGGTTCATTTGCAGGATTTTATGGCATTGCTAGCTATTATATTGATGGTATCGGTGTTTATTTGAGAGCTACTGAATGACGAAAATATGTTTCTAAAGTAGAAATGATTAAATTTGTAACATTTAAGTATTTAACCAAAACATGTTTTTAAATAAAAATGACAAATTTATAGCATTTAAGTGTTGCTGATTCCATAATTACAGATCTTTTGGAAACGTCATGTTTTATAAAAGGAGCACCTGGCCATCAAGCAGTAGTCGGGGCCAGCAAACAAGAGCATGAAACAATTCATAATACACTAACTATGAACATGAGAGTTGCTGAGCAGGTGTGAGCACCACTCAGCCAAATCGATTCTACCCTTTTTACACCTACATTCCACACAAAGAAAAACCACTGACTTGATCTTCTCCGGGGAAGACGAGTGTTTGTTGAAAAGCCTATCATTTATAGATAACCAAAGACACCCTAAGAGCGGACGGAGTGCTTGAGGGAAGCCGTGTAGGACCCTTTCCTGCTTACCGAAACACCACATCGAGACTGCCGGAACGGAGGTTCGGGAAGGAGGTGGGCGGAGGGGTTGCCGCAGTCTGTTTATTAGTAGACGATTTTTGTTTTGTTTTGTTTTGTTTTTTTCATTCTAACCGTTGAAAAACCGTAATATATAGAAAATTATTTTTTTTACTCAACGGCTAGATATAGGAAATTGAGTTTTTAATTTTTTTTACTCTTTACAACATCTATAAATACACACACACAATTTAACCTTCAAACTCATAGCCCCTTCTATCAATTTCTCTCTACTTTCTTCTAAAAAATGAATCCCTACTATCAAATCCAAAACTCCGATAGAAGGAAAAAAAAATCAATGTTTCGAGTTCAAGCACCAGCACTCGAAACATTTTTGCAATCAATTTATCTCAAGGGATTCATCATCCCCAACTTGATGCTTCCATTCAATCTCCACTACAATACCAATACTGAAATGTTAGATAATTTTACCAAATACAAGTTCCAAACGTTACTCCGAATATTCGAATATTCTTTCTAGTTATTTAAATCTTAGGTTTTTAATGTATTTTTTATTTCAATTAAGGAAGTGATTTTTCTTTTTAATTAATTTTATGTTTATTACTCATTTTAAAAAATTATAAATAATAAAAATCAATTATTTTATTTAAAAAAAAGTGTGAAAGTAGCTTTGAAGGATCATGTGTGAAAGAAGCTTTTCACACACACCGTGACTTTTGACGAGGAAAAGAAAAGTGCATGAAAGGATGTTTATGGCATAAAGAAAATGACGGAAGCTTTTCGCACACACCTCTGGTCTAACATCTCGTAGTTTATGGCATGCATAAACAAGCAACCTTTCCTTGGGGCATCCCCACCTAGCAAACAATTGATGTAGCTCAATGATGCTAATAACACGTGGATGTGATAAACCCATCCACACGTAGATCAACTCCCTCAACTTGAATGCTTGTGGACACTTAATTAGGATATCATCAACGCATACAACATGGAAGCCACAAGAGCGGCAACTAGGATTTACCGCCACTCCACGAATTTGCAAATAATCCGCAGTTGGAATCCACTTAAGTTGAGCACGCCATACAAAACCAAGGACTTTGATTTGGATTTCTTTACACCAAATAATCGAGGGACCAGGAACATCTATCGGCTTAAATTCCATCAGAGACCTAACCGCCTCAACCGTAAACTCGCCATCTCTAGTTAGGATACACCTCCATGAATCTGAGTCAGAGCAATAAGAATAATTAAGGAGCAAATTAGAAAGAGCATTCAGTTCTGTCACAAGACCCACAACAACAACATTCGGCTTCCAAGAGCAATTGGTTCCAAAAGTGATAATGCGTTCAACCACCCTACATCTTTTATGAGATTCGAAGCCGTATAAAAGGGGGAAAAAGCTTTGAGTAAAGAACTCCCATACCATACATCCCACCTAAATAAAGTATTATCATCCTTATTAACTTTCAATTGGAGATGTCACTGAATTCGAACCCTTCGTTATTTAATTCATCAACCATGTTACAATGTTCTTCCATACCCATAATTTTTATTACTATTATTTTTTTGAAAATAATTGTGAGATTTGCTGGAAAATTGTGAAAACAAGGAAGTAATCTACCCCATGGTGATTAATCGTCAATCTTTAAACGCCACCACCATTTTACAATTAGGCCTATATTTAGAGCACTAAGCGAGCCAACACCGAGTCTGCCCTTTTCCTCAGGAGTAGTGACTTTATCCCACAAGACCTGATGTATTTTAGTCTTTTCATAAAAAACACCCCATAAGAGTCTCCTTCTAATCTTTTCAAGGGACTCCAATATGCCTAAAGGAGCCTTGAAAAGAGAAAGGTAATAATTGAGATTCATATTTGCTCCCACGGGAATTCCAAGGTATGTAAAGGGAAGTGAACTGGCTGGATATCCCGGTAAATCAATCTAATGAGTAGACTCGAGGGGTTGTTCTTGTTAGATTAGGTGTCTAAGCCCATAACTATATTTGGTATATACTTGACTCGATTGTAGCATGATCCTTTTGAGTTGTCTTCACCATAGCAACTTGACTTGATGAATAATGGAGAAAGAGAATAAATGTGATTTATTAACATATTATGTGAATAATATATTAAAAAAATCATATTATTTAGTTAATATTGGTCAAGAATTAATTTAGAATTAATTTTGTGGTCAAAAGAGATTAATTAAATTAAGGGGACTGGTATTGTAATTATAAGAAAATTGCAAAATGGGCTGAGGATCCCAAGGATAGGGGTGGACGAAATCTTATGGATAACCCATAAGGATTTCATCCATGGTAAGGAGTCTGGGAGATTCCTATGGGCTGCTTAGGGCCTAAGCAACCAGATTAGGTCTTTAACTGAAACTCTAATACATCAGCTATAAATAGACCCCCTGAGATATCTAATTTTGGCCCTACACTTAACCCTAAGGATCTTAGAGCTGAAATTATCCCTTCCCCCCCCCCCCCTCCTCTAACATTCTCCAATTGCTCTTGGTGTTTGTGATCGATTAGAGGTATTACACTTGTGATACTAAGCTCTCAATAGTTGAGGATTCTACTAGCTACAATCAAAGATAACATTCTAATTTGTTTATTAGATGTCGATTTCAAATTTGTATGCTAGATTAAGGTTTATGGCTTTGGATAATCTTTTGTTGCATGTACAATTATGGAAATCCTTGATCCAAAGCTTTAGGGTTTCATGTGCACCATAGGATTGATGTAATGTTGAAAACCCATTAGTGGTATCAGAGCCTAGGTCATTTTTCTATTGTATTTGATACATAGCAAAATTGTTCAAAGGTGGAAAAGTCGAAAAATCTACTTCTACCTAATGAACTCGTCGAGTCCCCATGATGAACTCGACGATTCAGGGCTACTCAACGACTCCAAAGTCTGACTCGGCGAGTCGGCACGTTAGTTAGCAGATTTTTCGGGATTTTGACCAGAATTGGATTGGGATAATTACCGTAAATGTTTTTAACTGATAAAATTCGTTTTTTTTTAATGATATGGTAATGATTATCCTCATCCAATTAGAAGATAATTTTCAATTAATAAGATAATTGCAAGTTTATATGATAAAATTAATTATTTGTATTTTTTATTTGAATTATCTTGCCATAAAAGTAGATTAAATCAAATTTTAAGATAAATATTAATTATATGATTATTTAATTATTTTTCAAAATTGGTCTAAAAGATATTTTGAAAAGATTCAAAATTTATCCTCAAGTTTTGGAATTTATATTTTAATTAAAATGATTTAATTTTGAAATATTTAAATTCAAAACCCTAGAGTTTTATAAGTTTAAAATTCAACTCTTATACTATTATAATATAATAAGATTAATAATTATATATATATATATATATATATATATATATATATATATATATATATGTATATATATATATATATATAAACAATACAGTCTTACCATTAGTAGACCTCATTCACGAAGCCGATCTATAAGGGGGTATAAGGAAATTGCTTATAAAATCACGGTTGAATGGGTGTACACTCTCACTCACCGCTTTCTTGATTGGTAGACGGTCGTTATTCGAACTTGTAGGATAGGACAACTAATTCCGCATTAATAAGTATAATGATTTTATAAAGTAACTAAACATTTTTATAAATTCCCAATCTTAGTTACTTTAGGAAAAATGTGAAAATGATGTTATTCAATGAAATTGCACTTTGCATCTTGCCAAGTCGTTAGTGGAGCGTGTGTGACTAACCGACACACTAATTTGGGACTAGAAAGGGTGGCAAAGGGTAACTCGATGTTAATCATAGATTGATGGAGTGTGTGTGATTAACCGACACATTGATTAGGTGATAAATGACATCGAGAGTACAAAGCATATTTGCTTGGTTATTCACACCTTGTTTGTGATCTACAGTATCCCAGTCACAAACTTGAAGTGCATATCGAGATTTAAACATGCCATTGAAATGTTCAATGGATCTTAAAAGAATCTAGGAATTTCAATTCATTTAAAACTTAATATTATTTTTCGTTTTCATGGTCGAAATTGGTAAATCGTCATTTACCTACCTTCAAATTATTTGCAATTAGATTACGACATCCCTCTACTGAATTGTAAATAATTATGTTGGGTCCTAACCCTAATTTCTCATTTGGGTGTTAAATTGGGGATGCTTATCTAATCTAAACTTTGTCTCTTTTCTTTTTCAGATGTTACTCCAAACAACAATGCTTCTGGCTCAAATCCTTCTGGCTCATTCTCAGTCATGAACTTGTATGGGAGGGTGATCTTTGATGGATCCAACTTTAATGATTGGATTCACAACATACACATGGTCACCCGCTATGAGGACAAAGAGTATATTCTCGACAAGGAGCTGAAGGAGGTTAACCCAAACACTGCCACTCCTGAGGAAATTGTTGTGTACGAAACTCATGAAAGAGATGCTACAAAGGTTCATTGCATCATGCTCGTAACAATGACCGCTGAACTCCAAAAGTCCTACGAGGACTACTACCCTTTCGAGATACATCAAAGCTTGATTGAAAGGAATGTCTGTTGCATCAACTCCTACTACTGCTGCCCCCTGTCTTGGCTACTGGACAGGGGAAACGAAAGAAGAGGAAGGCTCCATCTAAGAGCCACAAGGAAAAGTCCCATGATTGATCCTCTTCTAGTAGGACCAAAGCTGGTACTACTACTCCTTCCTCTAATCCGAAGGATGCAGAGTGCTTCTACTATCCGATAAAGGGCATTGGAAATGAAGCTGCCCAAAGTTTCTACAAGATATCAAGGATGTGAAAATAAAGTCTACCTTCGCAGGTATTTATACTATTCAATCTAATAAATCATCGCATGCTATGTCTTGGGTCCTCAATACAGGATGTGGTTTTTACATTTGTTCTGATTTGCAGGGTCTATGAAGAAGTAGGGATATGGAGCATTGGAAGATAAACTTGATCATTGGGAATAGGAAAGCGTCACCTGTCACCATGATTGGAGTTTACTCTTTAGTGCTTAGTAGTGGGTTAGGTTTAGATTTGAATAATTGTT